GCCAATCAACGAGTTTTTAAGAAGATACCTGGTGACACTACATTAGCTCTACAATATCCAACCCTGTATAATATTGTGTTCAGAAAAGAGGATTCAGTGGCCTCTGTTATTGGGGATAGCCCTTTGAACATCCAATTTTGCAGTGCAACTGGGTGATAAATGGACTAAGTGGATCCATTTGGTTTCTAGATTGATCGATATAAATTAATCTAACTCAGATGTCAGATTCATTTTAGTGGAGGTTAACCACTAACCGTGTCTTCACTGTGAAGTCTATATATGCAGATGGATCCTGGACCTATTTTTCGTGAAAACATATATTTGGAAAACAAAGGCTCCTTTCATGATCAAAGTTTTCATGTGGTTTCTGTAGAGGGTGGTAATTCTTATCAAAGATAACCTTGCTAAGATTAAGTAGCATGGCAACAAAAAAATATTGTATTTGTGATCAGGAGGAGACAATTCATCATTTATTTCTGTCGTGCCCATTTACTACATTGACCTGATATGATTCATGTTACATACAATTTAGCACCACCAACAGGTATTTCAAATTTGTTTGGAAACTAGTTAGGTGGTATTCATCAAAAGTTGAAGGGCCAAATTCATGTGGGAGTTTGTGTTATTCTCTAAGCAATGTGGAACTACATCTTCAATTCGTATGTTATCTACAGAGCTACAACTTCAATTCGTATGTGGTCATCACTGCAGCATGTGGACGCGCGGACGCTTATGGCCTCTGGGTGCAGCTGGTTGAAAACAGTTGCGCTGGGTTTGTTCAACCAGTTTGGCTGGCGAGCCACTCCTAAACTATGTGGATGGGCTATTTAATCACAGGTTCGACTGCTTATGATCGTGTTTTCCATTTATTTGTTTTTACTGTCGAGCACTCGTCACTTAAACTTATTTCATGTTGAATAATATAGATGTGTGCATCATGTGTGATGCAGAGGTCAAGTACATAAAGAATTTCATAGGATCACCACACTCATCTCTCTCATCTTAATTATCTTGCCACATCAAATTTTTTGTCTATATGGCAGCCTTAGTATCCGTACAAGATGTAGCATTGGGAGGAGCCTAAGAAAAAAGTATGCCCGTCGAAGTGGAAAAGGTTTCAGTTAACGAAAGAGCAAAGAAACTCTAGTGCAAATGGCATCCTGCGCGCTGCCACGCCTTGGAAACGCACGGCCGGTGAGGGAGCGGCGTTAAATGCCAGTGCGTCCTGGAGCAGTAAAGCCAATCTCGTCGCTGCATTGACCTTTTCCTTTTCTTCCCCTCCTGGCTGCGATGCATGCAAGGGCACTGCTGCATCTCTGCATGCACCACGCCACCCTAATAAAAATACTTTCCCTCTTACTACTTTACTGGTATAAATTAATTAAAACTGGCCCTCTCATCTCACTCATATGCAAGCCATGACCTCACAGCAAAAGGTTAATCGAGGAGTTCTTTAGTCTGTGGACTTGGCAGGGCATGCATGTGAACGCCATTGCCTTGCCTTGCCTGGGCAGTAAACTGATCAATGCTCCTCCATTATGCTACACTTATACAATACCGAGAGGAAGAGACTTCGAGTACACTCTAGAAATTCAGTGTACGTACGTAGTATAGTTTGCATGGAGAAGGAGCACATGGTCGACAGTGGCAATATTTTACGGAGGAAAATTTGACTCTCACACTATTATTTGTTTAGAGGTAGACAAAATTTGACCCGTGATGCGTCATGGTCAGAGCTCAGAGGAGAAGGGTCGGCCGATGAGCTAGGTGCATGCATGCATGAGGAGATCAAGATAGAGGGCCGGGCAGGGCAGCTGCCTCGGCAGGGAGATGATAAACAAAAAGTGGCAGCGGAACTCAGAGTGCGCGATCGAATTGAATGCCCGAGCCAAAAGGAAAACAAGGGCGTAAATGCGTGCCCTCCGCCACTGCACATGTGAGGGGACTTATTGGTAAGCTAGGCTAGTAGTAGTAGTAGCCTCGATAGAGATCATCAGCTCCGCCTCCACCTCCATGCCCCTCTCTTCCTGTGTGGAAATGGACAAATGCTCTTTTCTACTCTCTCCGTTTCTAAATATAAACTTTCTAGAGATTTTAATATGAATTACATACGGATCAAAACAAACACTACAGTATGTCTACCGTATGTAGTTTGTATTGAAATCTCTAAAAAGCTTTATATTTAGAAACGTTGGGAGTAAAACTTTAGCATAAAATGGACCTGACCCAAAAAAATCCACCAAATGGTCCATTTGCATGACGCTCCAGGCCCAGCCTCGGGCGTCATGCAAAAATGAGTCATTTTGTGAAAAGAAAATGGATCGGGTTCATTTTTGTGTCAAAGTTTAAGAAAAGGCTAGATTTGTTAATTTTCAGTTCTACTCTAGCTCCTTGCCCTATCTCTGTGTACTCTCCGCCCAGCTGTAAAGTAAAGATGGAGCTAGCTAGGGGGAGAGAGAGAGAGGAGAGCACGAGGATGGACACGTGTGACATCTGTCCTTGAGACGAAGAGCATGCTTTGCTTTGTAAACAAACAAGGATGCAACGCCTAATTCTAGCCGTACCACAGTGCCATAGAACTTCAGTATGCTACTACTGCACTTGCTTAATCGACATAACTAACCAACTTGCAGGACATGCATTAAGGCTGCAATGGCAAGGTTGCAGGTCGAAGCCAGACCATCCATGGGGAAGAGGGCATCGCACGTACGTACACGCTGGCCTTGCACGTACGTACAGTGTGTCGTGGCATCCGAATATATATCGGGGCACACGCACAGCTATTTCTCGCTGCAAGACATATGAATGCGTACGTAACGTATTATTATCATTATTCATTGCTGTGTTTTGTTATCCCTTGGCCTGCACCGTCCGGACAAGGGCATGTGCAGAGATTAACTCATTGGTGATGGGGAGTAATGGGGAGCATGTGGGGAATTAGACCCCTCGCTGGACAAGATTGATCGGCTTGCCTGCCCTAACTCGCCCAGAATTCAAGTTCACTCAGGGCCCAGGCGAAAATGTACTCAACAGGAGTTTGCTAGCCCTGTTTATTTTCTCCCGTTGATCCTTCAGTTCTACGTACGTCTGCATGCAGATGCGGTATGATTTTACAGTTAGCTGATTAATCTCACCTCCGAAATGCATGCAACGAACGTGCGGTGTATGTACGTACGTGGTACTACTCCTACGTTGTACGTAGAGATTAGTCGAGTGACAGGGAGAGATGTCGGAAGGGCTACGTTTTTCCCGCCTCTCTCGCGAAACCGATGGATCGAGTTAATGCAATATATATGTGCCCTGCTTGATGGATCGATCCGACCCTGACCTGAAAGCGCCGCCGTTGTGGTCACTGCTCAGCTCACTACACACTCCTGGTGTATTAAGCTTGCCGACGCAAATGCCTATAGGAGGTGTGAAAATAAGAATAAGAATGCTCTCCAGCAACTTCATTCCGGGCGATCCAGCTGCTGCTAATCCTTCCTTCACACAGTGCGGGTCGTTGGCGGTGAAGACAGCTGAGCGGCCTCGGAATCGGAATGAGTCGACGTCGATTGCAGGAGCGTACGGGCATGGCATGATGATCAAGAGATTAAGGATCGATATCATATCATCAAGATGTATTAATCAAGTACTCCATCTCAGCAGGTCTAGGGGCCGTACTCCTGCTTACTACTCTAGGAGTAGTAAGCTACACTCTGCACATATGGGACGGGACGGGACGCGTGCACGGTTTTGAATCGTAGTACCATGCAATATTATTCGATCTATCTCCCGATTAAATGGAGCATGGAATCATCGATCATATTCACGCACGTACGACGCGTACGTGCGGTACGTCGCATTGCATGAGCAGCACGTAAGGCGTCGCATATAAGGAGGGATATCGATCGATCGAATCGACCCTAAGTGCATGGTACTTGTACAGTGACAACGTGACATGTGCATACACGTATACATCAGTATATTTTTCTTGCGTGGACATACAAAAGTATATATATAGTACAGTATATTTCATGAGCCGCATAGCTAGCATGCAAAACATAGCAGAGCCTTGTTTCTTTTCACGCGGATATGTTTCAAGTTGATCAGGGCGCTCGTTTTGCCTCTCCCGCGTGTGCTTAATCATGTGCGCTAGAGCTGTAGCACATGTCGGCTTCAAGGGATAGGTGCACGTATGGGTGCCCATGAAACCGGCCCTGAGCGTACGCACACAATAACACAGTAGATTGCAACTCACGATCGATCGAGTTAATGTGGTTTCGTCTTTTCTTTTGTCGCAAGAGCTGCTTGCTGATGCGCCTAGTGTTTTTTTCCGTTGCTTCACATATGGAGCGTCATGCATGGCAGGCGGCAATTGATTCCGCGTGGTCGGCAGCATGTCATCTTGCGAAAAGTTGTCTGTGCTTTGGTGTTCATCGTTGTCCCGATTAATTCTTCGGTTCTACACGTTGACGTAGCCAAACAAAAACGTGCACTCCCCGCCCGTTTCCATCGTCATTTATATGGACACACATTTTCTTCTCTGCAATTTGCACGTAAAAACATGCAAAATTAGTGCTCCATCTGTTCTAAAATACTTTTTTTGCGAGGAAACTTTCGATTTATTCATCAACTGTCAAGGTAGTATAAAGAACACCAGAAGTAAAAATTACATCCAGGTCCGTAGACCACCTAACGACAACGACAAGCACTGGAGCGAGCCGAAGGCGCGTCGCTGTCATCGCCCCTCCCTTATTGGAGTTGGACAAACATTGTTGTAGTAGACAGTCAGAAAATCATCATGCTAAAACCTCATAGAACCAGCGCACCAGAACAGCAACCGTTGTCGACGAAGAGAAGTCTAAATCAGAAGGATCCAACCTGCTGACATATAGACGTAGGCGAACGAAGACTGGATCCAAGCGGGCACATCGAAGACAAACGCTAACCGGATCCCACGAGATTCGCTGGAGACACACCTCCACACGCCCTCTGACGACACTAGAAACATCACCGAGATGGGGGCTAGGCAGGGAGGACCTTATTCCATCTTCAAGAAGCCGCCTCCGTCTCGTCTTCCTGAGCATGGCACGAACCGTAAGAAAACTCCAAAAAACACCTAAAAACATAGCCTTCTCGCAGGCAAGGGTCGGGATCCACCGCGCCTCCATGATCCAAGGACCATAGGAGACGAGGTGGACCGATGGCGGCGCTGGCGAGAGGCGGGGAAACCCTAGCCGAGAGATCACATGAGGCAGGAGCGACGGGGTATTTTGTGCATGACAACTATTTCAGATTGAAGGGAGTACAATGAAACGTTTCTACTTTTTTTAGACTTGTTCACTTCTTTTACTTTCAGCACGCTTCCCCTGAATTATCGTGCGATAATATTTTTAATCAACACTAGAACAATTCTTAACAATGACCATGGAATTCCACAATTCTACATATCATGAAGTTTTATTACAGATAAAAATGTTCAACATCTAATGAGAAGTGGCTCATTCTAGCGGCAACCATGGCCGTTCGGTGGTCCATGGATCTCGATGTAAATTTTTATTATGTTCAGGGTGACTTGCCCTTCTGCTAAATCTTTATTAAAGAAAAGGATGTGAGAAGGAAAATGACAGAGACGCAAAAGGAGAATGGAGAAATGGAATATTGAAGAACAGGAGTTGTGGCCTTTATTAGGCCATGGAAAGTTGGAAGCTACTCCAGGCCACGATGCAACCGACCATAAACTATGGGCTGATATCTCGAAAGTTATTGTGCATCTCCTCCAGCCCAACCAAAAACCTGAGCTGACCCAAAGCCCTAGAAATTCCATCACACACCATGCCGTCTAGCCCAGCCCACCCCCACCAATTCAAACCCATCTTCTTTCGTGTGACCCCTCAAAAACGAAAAATCTTCTTTTCTGTAAAAAAATATACTCCCTCCGTTTCGAAATAGATGACTCAACTTTATACTAACTTTAGTACAAAGTTGGGTCATCTATTTTGGAACGGAGGGAGTATATCCCATCCTCCTGCCCCCATCTCCGGGCACTGACGGCGCCGGCGGCGCTAGGTGAGCAGAGCCAGCTGCCAGCTGCCGGCGCTTCTCCCTGTTCGCGCCCTTCGTCCCACGAGGTATGGTCCTAATTCTGGGTGGCTACACCCGTACAGATATGAGAAATCGCCATAGGTTTTCTCCCCTCTGCGTGGTTTGCGCAAACAGTTGGTTGCTGAAGAACTCGTTGCGATTCAGGGTAGATAATGGCCACTTCGCTTGTCTGATTTTTTTGTTCTTCTATCCGGCTGTTGCAAATCTCAGTCCGATTTATTTATGTAAATATATGGTGCCTGAAGATTCAGTCATATCCGAGCCTGACTGAAATGTCTGAACCACTAAGGGCTACAGTATTCGATGCTAGTAGCATACTATAGTATGGATAAGCATTTGCACTCCTATGAAGATGTTAGATGCTGTATTATGCTATGTAACTTGTGATTTACCATATTATCCTTGGGTGAAGCAATCAAGCAATTTTCTTTACGGGCTTCCATATGTTCTGACATGGTAGACTTGGTTTCAGGAGACAAGTACTTACCCCTAGCTATTTATAGTTCGAATTCATCTATTTGGCTGTTGAGATTCACACCTAATCAATGTCAAGTAATTTTTCAACATATGGTTTACATCGTAGTGATTTGGTATATGCAATAATTCCATCATGTTAGAAATGAAAGATAGTCTATCGCAATTTCTTTCCTTCAGGTTCAGGATTACGAGCGTAACCTCGGTATCTAGATGCAGACGTTCCTCTGAATTATCCAGCAATGCTCCTTTTTCCTTAGAGTAGACAGAATAGTCACATTGTTATAGAAGGTACTATTGAACATTTGAGCAAGAAGATGTCATCGCTGAATATGGCAGTTTCCAACACTTCTATTTTTCTTCTTCAACAAGGTCGGGCTATAACAAACTGCAATAAGCGATTATTTCAGAAGCTCTGAATACAAAGGATCTTGTTTGTATTGCATAGAATGGGACCAAGTATCTGCTCTGGTGTGGCTAGCTGAGTACGTGTGCTCGCAGCCCTCCTTCCTGTGTTCGAGGCACACCCTTCTCAGGGTGCCTGCTCAGGTTCTTCTTCATCTTCAAGAAATGCCGCTCAGAGATAGTCTGGTTGGTCTAGCATTGCATAAAACCTAACGAGATTCGAAACAAAGCTAATCATTAGTTGGTTGGAGTAAATTCATAGAGATGACATATTATATTCAATGTTCAGGATATCGGTAACTGGTACCATATCGGCCGGGGGCTGATAAGGGATTAATCGGCGAATTGGCCATTTAACTGAATATATCTGTAACCCATTTATCGGTAGTTTAACTAGGGCCATATCTGTATATCCTAGGCTACATAGCAACATGCATGCATTGTACTGAATGTCTAAATATGCAATCCTAGGCTACAGAGCAACAAGGAAGAGTGTTACCTTGATGTTCTGATGATGTCTAGATCTACATAGAAGAGCAGCAGCAACAACAACAACACAGCAGCAGTAAGTGTACATCACTACCTAACATCAAAGGAGAGCAGCACAGCAACAGTACTACTTGTACATCGCATAAGAGAGCAGCACAGCAGCAGCAGTAATAGTACATCAGCATTTACAGAACAACACAACATAAGGAGAGTAATGCTTCTGTTCTTGGCATAGGAGAGCAGTTTTGGGCCAAAAAATGCTTCCCAGTTAATCGGCCCAGCCGATAATTCGGCCTGACAGCCAACTGATTATAGGCTTGTCAGACCGATTAACTG